ATTGGGAAAGATGAATAAGGAGAGGCTGCTAAAATCTCAGGGCTGGGACGAATAGAGAAGTTACTGGTGCCCGTTTGAGTAAATCAATGAACAACAGGATGACAGTGATACAGTGATATATCATTAAATATCTCATTCTTATATATTCTATATATCCATACATATTCTATATTCATATATAGATATATTCTTTATATCCTATATATTCTATGTATTTTCTGTATGTGTATATATACATATAAATATAAATATAAAATTCCTGCTGAGGCTATTTAATAGATTCCTATCTCCCATCTCTTCTGGAATGCAAGGCTGCTACAATCACTTTTGCATTATATCAAACTCAAGTGTCATCTCTCATAATTTCTTGGCTTTTTGGGGGGGGGTCACACCTGACGATGCACAGGGGTTACTCCTAGCTCTACACGCAGAAGTTACTCCTGGCAGTAGCTCAGGGGACCATATGGGATGCTGGGAATCGAACTCTGGTTGACCGCGTGCAAGGCAAAGGCCCTACCTGCTGTGCTATCGTTCCAGCCCCTCTCATGATTTCTTAAAGTAGACCTTCTGTACATCATCCCAAACCAGGGTTATGCCCAATCTCAATAACTGCTTCTTTTTTTTAATTTTTATTAGTGAGACATCATGAGGTACAGTTGTAGACTTACAAATTTTTGTGCTTGGGTTTCAATTATACAATGATCAAATACCCATCCCTTCACCAATATAACTGCTCCTTTTGAATACCATTTCTATCCATCCATGTAAATAGCATGTGTTCGCTAGTGTTTCTTTGATGGCATGAAATCTTTACGCATTAAAGGAAATCTCCCTTATAAAGCAAAAATCACAGTATTTTATACTGAGGTTAAAGAATTTAGTAACGCATAGGAGTCAGATACATAAGTGCATTTTTGGTAGAGAAGAATAAAGAACAAAAGATATGCACTTCTTCTGTAAAGTCTCATGTGACCCAAGCATTCTGTTACCCTTACTAGCTACCCTTCACCAATGAGTTCAAATACTGTCTTCTTCCAAATCCTCTTTGCTCCATACAAAGCAGTCTTTCCTCCCTTGCATTGCATGGTGCTTTGTTTATATGGGGACTCTATTATAATCATTTTCTACCAAAATTCATTTATGCACCTGACTCCCTCTTGAATAAAAGCTCCATTAAGAAGGTACTATGCTTTCTTAGTTCTTTAACTTCAGAAGTAAGCCCTGAACACCACTGGGTGTGCCCTCCCCCCAAATAAAGTAAGCATTTTATTTTAATGTCACATAGTTTTGAGGGCTGGAAGTTTAGAAGTGAATATTAAGGATTCACATGAAGTTGCAGGCAAGTTGTTGGCTAGTTTTGCTTTCATTTTTGAGGGATAAATATTCATTCTCAAGGTCACTAATGTAGTTGCTGTCAGGAGCCCTCAGTTCTTCACCATGTAGACTATACCACTTTCACTCCACCTTCATCCCTCCCCAGTGAGTAATCTGAGAAATCAAGAATGAGAGGAAGAAAATTAAGATGGAAGCCAAAATCTTCACAGATAACTTAATCAATAGCGGGGCATTCCTTCACAGAGAATCATAACGCCCAGCTCACACTCAAAGGGAAGGGGTTACACAACAACATGAATACTTGCAGGAAGGTATCATTGGTTGGGGGTGGAGGGTACATCTTAGAGGCTGCCGACTGCACTCTGTAAGAGAAGCTGCTATTTTTATAAAACAATTTTTTATTGAGTCACCATGAGATACAGTTACAAATCTCTCATGTTTGAGCTTCAGTCATACAATGATCGAACACCCATCCCTTCACCAGTGCACATTCTTCGCCACCAATGTCCCCAGTATACCTTCCCCTTTCCAACCCTCCCCTGCCCCCAGCCTCTATGGCAGACATTTTCCCCCATACTCTTCTCCACTTTTAGGCATTATGGTTTGCAATATAGATACTGGGAAGCTATCACTTTTGGTTCATATCAGCACACAAGAGAAGCTGCTATTTAAAAATGTAAACAGGGTGTTGTCGTCATCAGACTCTAGGTGGTTTTCTGTATGCATGAAGCTTAATATCTAAAAAGAAGCTCTCTGTGATCAGAGCTGTAGAAGACTATTATGTGGGTAAGTTGAGAGTGAAATGACAACCGTGAGAAATTAGAAAAAAATAATCAGAGAAGTGAAAAAGACTCTTTAGTTCTGTTTACTTTTGATTCTAATTTTCTCATTTCTTAATTCTTGCTTTTTTGTACCTGTGGCATTGCTTCTTTGGGTTCATTAAACATCCTCAACATGATATCTCTAACGTCCTTATGTGAGATGTTATAGGGCTGGTTAGTATAGTTAAGTCTTCCAGACTGCTGTCTTCATTGAGCTTGGTGGGATTCTAAGCTGCTTGTGTCTTTTGCTGTCTGATAGTATTTTTAATTACCTTTTTGTTTCTGGAAATAAAATTTTTTTCTTCCTCTTTTTCAAGTATTTATATTCCTTCTACCAGAATGTTGACCTGTGAACCAAAGACATAATTCAGGACCTAAGGCAATTGCTTTGCATGTGTTTATGTCAGTTCCATCCCTATTACTACAAATTGTCCTCTGAGAACCACGAGAAGTGACCCATGAGCACACGCACAGCTGTGGCTCAAACCTCCCTTCCACATTCCCGAAAGTAAATACTATCGGGAAAAAAAGATGGAGTTTTCCGTACCAAATCAGCCAATCAGGTTGACAGAATTCCTGTATTTTTATGGACCAAACAAACAAACAAACAATGTCCTCCCATTGTTCATCGATTTGCTCAAGTGGGCCCAGTAACGTCTCCATTTTGAGACTTGTTGTTACTGTGTTTGGCATTGCCGCGCAGGCGAGACACTCTCGATAGCTTGCCGGGCTCTCTGAGAGGGGTAGAGGAATCAAACCCGGCTTGGCTGGGCTGGCTACACTCGAAGGCAAACGCCCTACCACTCTGCTATCGCTCCAACCCTTGTGCTATTGCTCCAACGAAGATGAAATGTTTACTGCATTAATTATAAGTATGTTTTATTATGCTTGTACAGTAAAAGTTCCTATAAGGTAAAATTTATTATATGATTTAAAATTTACCCACAAAGCTATAAACTATTCACTCTTAATATACTAACTCTGTGGAAATTTTTTTTTTTTGCTTTTTGGGTCACACCCGGCAATGCCCAGGGGTTACTCCTGGCTCTGAACTCAGGGATCACCTCTGGCGGTGCTCAGGGACGCTGGGAATTGAACCCGGGTGCACCGCGTGCAAGGCAAACGCCCTACCTGCTGTGCTATTGCTCCAGCCCCCGGGAAACTATTTTTTAAATCCAAATTCTTTTTGGTAGTTTTATGCTTTTTATATTTAAAGAAAAAGAGTTCAAGCTTTTAGAAAAATGCCAAGAGTAATACAGAGAATTCTCTTATACCATACAACTTTTACCAAGATTCAACAATTTTACATATCTTCTCTTTCTAATAGATAGATATAGATAAAGAGTAGATATATTGATAGATAGAGAGATGATAGATAACAAGATATTCATGCAGCTAGCATAACATACTGAGAGTATAGATATTTTCTTGCACAATCTTGGCCAAGTTAGTGATGAAATTAAATGTTTATGGGATATTAGATACTTCTAGTATCTCAAACCCCTTTTTCATCCAAATGTTGCCAGTCTTCCCAATAACATCCCAGAGAGATTTTTTTAATAGATGTTCATGTATCTAGGTATTATGTTTGTTTAGTTTCCTTTCTTCAATCTCTTTTTACCAGAGGCTATTTTGACATTACATTAGAAGATTAGGCCAACCATTATATGGAATTTTCCTTATTCTGTTCATATTTGATGTTTCCTCATACTTAGTTTCAGACAATGCATTTTGACAGGAACACTCATCAGCAATGTAAATGTGACTTACAGACACATGACAATTTATTGTCTTTTTAGCGATGTGAACTTTGATTCCAAGATTAAATTAGTATTCATAATTTTCTCCACATTAAAGTTAGTGTTTGTCCCTTTGAAACGGATAAAAAAAAAGTTACGTGGAAAATTTTTATGAGTTTAAATATCTTGTTCCCCATCAAATTTTTATGGGCAACTATTATGGTATCCTTGGTGAAATTTAATATTATGAGAGTTTATGTGAGTTTGTGATTCTACTTTTTTCTTTTACATTATTCGTTTACATTCTACTGTTAAGGGTAACTTTCTCATTTTCTTTTTTTTTAACCTCTATTTGATTAGTTGAGTGTGGAATTATAGATTCTCATGTTATTTGACAGTTAACTGTTCTCAAATGCTTATGATATTTCAAATCAATAGCACATTAACTTTTTAAAAACCTATTATATGCTTTGATGCTCAAGCTGGCCCAATGAGAGTCCTTCAAAGTGATTCCAAACACCTTTAAATACTTAACAATGTGTCACTGGTAACAGTTTCAAATTGAATACAGGAAGCAATACTGAGTATCTCCTTGGAAGTAGTCAAGCCATTATCTATGATAGTTCATGACTCAGGTAGAATCCAACTTCCTCATGGCTCACAGGTAACTCACAAAGCCAAACTTTCTTCTTTCTGCTGCCTCTCTCTTGACATCAAAAGATACTTCAGCATCATGAGAACAGTTTGTCCAGAGGTCATCACAGAGTGATACACAGATCACGGGCCAATTACTTGGGGCTGGATTCATGTAAATTCCTGAAAAACAAGGAAATAGAAAGAAAAACAACATTCTGAGAAAGATCAGATGGAATCCATCTAACACACCAGGCAAAGGAAATGTCACTTTCCTTCATCTTAAAATACCCAACCAAGAAAAACACCACAACAATCTAATTTTATTACAAATACTTCCTTAGGAAGATGAAGTAGTAAACACTCTAGCCCATGGGTCGAGCAGCCTGAGCAGAGTATAAAAGGGGACAGGCAGCAGAGTGTCTTTCAAATTCACCAAACTCACCCTCTTAACTCACATCACAACCCCCAACCTCTGACACCATGACCGGCTCCTGTTGTGGCTCCACCTGCTCTGAGGAGGGCTGCTGCCAGCCCAGCTGCTGCCAGCCTTCCTGCTGCAGGACCACCTGCTGCACCACCAACTGCTGCTCTGTGCCCAGCTGCTGCAGCCCCTGCTGCAGTCCCTGCTGTAGCCCCTGCTGCCGGCCCTGCTGCAGCCCCTGCTGCAGCCCCTGCTGCCGGCCCTGCTGCTCCAGCTCCAGCTGCTGTGGCTCCAGCTGCTGCCGCCCCTCTTGCTGCTGCATCTCCAGCTGCTGCCGGCCCTGCTGCTCCAGCTCCAGCTGCTGTGGCTCCAGCTGCTGCCGCACCTGCTGCTGCCTGCGCCCGGTCTGTGGCCAGGCGTGCTGCTGCACCACCTGCTACCGCCCCACCTGTGTCATCTCCACCTGCCCCCGCCCCATGTGCTGCGCCATTCCCTGCTGCAGCTGCTGAACCCAACCCTATGATTCCCACATCCTATGATCTTTGCCCTCATTAGTGTTGAATTTCCCTTCGTGCTGATCCTCATGGAGTGGAGGTGATATCCTTCAACTGAACTGGCCTCGTGATTCCAGTAAGGAACCAAGCCCGGTTGTTGAAGATGGATATTGTGCACACCACCTCTTGAATGCCAGATTTCCCCCTTTGACCATTGGTTAGCTCGTTCCTTTAACTTTCCTTTTAAAGGATTGTCTGTAACAGGATGTAGTCCTCAGCCAAAATAAAATTACATTTCTCTGCATAAAAAACTCAATGTGTTTTTTCCTTAAGATTTGTCTTTATTTCTTAGACAACTGTATTGACTGTATACGTGGATTTGTGTATACGAGCAAAAAGAACATGCTACATACTTCAGGCATCACACCAGCTTTCAGAATGATTATACTGTCTTGCGTGATTTGCATGTTTATTTTCATACGTGGACATCCTGCAGGCAGCTAATCTGGCATATGCTGATTATGCCACTATTTACAGTGAGATTCAGCCAGGTTCCAGATTTTTGTCTTTAGATGAGAACATTTCCAAAGTACATGCTTTCAGGAACTGATATAACTGATATAACTCTGATGAATGAATGAAGTCCTTGTTTTTGGGACATCAAAGTTCTATTCAGTTCCTGTCAATTGTTTATATGAGGAAATGCAGGTCTTTTGCTTTCACTGAAAATCAAGTTTGGTCATTGACCTTTCCAAATGCTCATACCTTGGTTCATTAATTTAAAAGTTTTTTGAGCTTTTGTTAATGTGGGAGACATTATTATATGTACTAAGGTAATAGCTGAAACCAAAAAATACTGAATTAATAGAGTGGACATCTTAGTAGAAAGCCTCAACAAATGCCTCATTAGCATGTTTACTCGTAAATATTTGTTGGAACAAACTTACATATGAAAGATTTTGAAATTTAATCATTTATATTTTAGGGGCTGGAGTGATAGTGCAGCTGGTAGGGCATTTGCCTTGCATGTGGCTGACCCAGGTTCAATTCCCAGCATCCCATATGGTCTCCCAAGCACCACCAGGAGTAATTCCTGAGTGCAAAGCCAGGAGTAACCCCTGTGCAACGCCAGTGTGAACCAAAAAGTAAAAAAATTTCATTTATATTTTATTTTATTTTATTTTTATTTATTTTTATTTTTTTATTTTAATTTATTTATTTATTGAATCACTGTGGGAAAAGTTACAGAGCTTTCGGGTTTAGGTCTCAGTCATGCAAATATCAAACACATTTCCCTTTACCAATACTTATTTTTAACCCCGAACCCCAATAGACCCCCACCTCCCACCCCTCCCAATTCTTGTGAGGCAGATGAGTTCTAGTTAATATTCTATCTACTTTGACTAGATAGATTGTTTCGATAGAAGATGCACAATTATTGTTTAGAGTTTACGACCCACCCCCCACAATCAGATATGCTGAAACAGCGTTGTGAAATGATTTGCTTTCTACAACTTGGTTTAAGAATAAAATGATGTCGCGTCCGCGCGGTTTTGAATTTCTGCTATTTTACTTATTGACCCTGGAAGAATTTCTATTAAAAGTTAGATAGTTAGGAGACTGGCTTCTGTGCCCTGGAGTCGTGGCCGTGCCGGAGAGCCGCTCGTGGGGGGCAGCTGGGGACCTCGGTGGGGCGTGGGGGACGGCCCACAAAGCCCCCCTTCCCATGAGGTCCCCGCCGCTTCCGCCGAGCCCGGCTCAAACCTGCTGTCCACAAGGCTCCCGTGCGGCCACCATCTTTCTTTCCAGAGAGGAGCGGGTGGGCCGGTCAACGCCCTTTCCCCTCCGGGCAGGCTTGGTGGCGCGGTTTAACACATAGTCCATTTGCTTTTCTGCTCCAAGCTGCTGGTTCTCTGTGCTAAGTCCTTGTGCCTCCGGGGCCGTGGCCGTGCCGGAGAGCCGCTCGTGGGGGGCAGCTGGAGACCTCGGTGGGGCGTGGGGGACGGCCCACAAAGCCCCCCTTCCCATGAGGTCCCCGCTGCTTCCGCCGAGCCCGGCTCAAACCTGCTGTCCACAAGGCTCCCGTGCGGCCGCCATCTTTCTTTCCAGAGAGGAGCGGGCGGGCCGGTCAACGCCCTTTCCCCTCCGGGCAGGCTTGGTGGCGCGGTTTAACACATAGTCCATTTGCTTTTCTGCTCCAAGCTGCTGGTTCTCTGTGCTAAGTCCTTGTGCCTCCGGGGCCGTGGCCGTGCCGGAGAGCCGCTCGTGGGGGGCAGCTGGAGACCTCGGTGGGGCGTGGGGGACAGCCCACAAAGCCCCCCTTCCCATGAGGTCCCCGCCGCTTCCACCGAGCCCGGCTCAAACCTGCTGTCCTCATTTATATTTTAAATTGGCACTTAAGGGCCCCTGATTACTTGCAGCAATGCTTGGCCTATGATTTGGACCTGGCAGTTCAATGTCTGACCTGGGTGATGCCCAGGGACCACCAGGGTTATACATGATGATGCTCTAGGACCTAAGTAGCACTGGGGATCAAACTCAGACCCTTGCACATGCTAAGCATGTGCTCTACCACTTGAGAAAGATCCCCATTTTTAAAATGTCATATTCAGGGCTGGAACAATAGCACAGCAGGTAGGGTGTTTGCCTTACACGCGGCAAACCTGAGTTCGATTCTCAGCATCCCATATGGCCCCCCAAGCATCTCCAGGAGTAATTCCTGAGTGCATGAGCCAGGAGTAACGCCTGAACATCACCGGGTGTGACCCAAAAAGAAAAAAAATGTCATATTCATAGTAGGGAGCAGAATAACGATGTTTTTCAGTGTCTGGGAGAATAGGTGAAATGGGTAGAGATTGGACAAGAGGTACAAAGTTGCAGTTATAGAATATGAATAAGTCCACACCTCTTGGGGAAAACATGGTTATAGTTTATAACACTGGACTGAATACTGGAAATCTGCAGAGAGTTGATTGTTAGTAATCTGGTCAAAAATAACTATGTGACTTCTCATAGTTCTTGCCCGTGACTTCTCACTGTCAGTCAGCTTTCCTGTAGTCATCATCTCACTATGTATACCAAATTATCTCCTTTGACGTTTAAAAGGCCTGACATTTAATATAAAATATATAATAGAAATTTACAAATAAAAAAATTAAGAAGCCAGTGGTCCACACTAGATATAGTCTTCTCCAACTCAACTCCCCAGCAGTGCTCTTTCCTTTGTCTCTTCTCCTGTTTGCACTCTTTGCACTGTTCCTCTGAGCAGTTTATGCTTCTTCATGACACACGTGTGCATGTGGTCCTCTTCTTCAAATGTTCTTCCCTGGAAGTTCTTCTGGGATGCTGGTACACTCCCCTGCAGCTCTTTGTCTTTGAATTTTAGCTTTTGCATGATGAATAAGGTGCCTTTGACTATCCATCCCACTTCAGATTAAAATTTCAATATAGGATTTCCCCACTGATTTTCTATTCCTACTGCCGTGGTGAAATGAACGTCTCTAAAGAAACCAGAGAGCACAAGGAGGGATGGAGAGAGAAAACAGTTTTATTGATGCTAGTGGGCTCAGGTCAGTTTTCACCAAAAGGGTCTACCCCCAAAAGGCTGAGACTTTTGTCACTCCATTATAGGGGTCTGCACTTGTAACTGGGGAGAGGAACCTGTAGGGTCAGGGATTACACAGTGATGTTACTCAAACTGTGTTCAGTAGGTCATCATGTAGAGTTAGTAGATGAAGAACTTGGAGTCAGGCAAATACATAGATTTGGTAAATATTGGACGTAGTGTCAAGCTTCCCCCTGATTGCAGGGATAATTACCAGGATACAAGAACCAGACCTCTCTCTGTGTTGCCATGAATCGGGTTTATCTGGAGTTTCTCAGTAATCTGCTCCCTCCTTGCATTTCACCTGGCTCTCCGTGCAGCGGAGGGTTAGCTCACCAATTCTGCAGGGGAGTTTTACATTTTGCATTATCTCTCTTCCTTTTTCCATCACACTACTCTCTCTGGTCTCTCTAGTTTGGTTTTCACCACAGAATAAATTGCCCTGACAGCTATATGGATTGTGTCTCCCCTCTGCACAGAAGAAGCCCTGTGAAGTCCAGAGGAGTTTGTCTTGTTTGTCCCAATGCATAAAATAATAACATACCAAGAGCAAACAAGAAAGAAATAATTGTCGAGTGAATGAATCAACAGATGGATAAATTCTGTTTGCACTGCTACAGGTGAATTAGAATAAAAATCTGAGCTCTTACTATGAGAACTCATAGAATAAAGACTATTGTGGGTTCTTTGAAAAGAACGATTTGCCCGATAGTTGCAGGTATTTATCAGTATTAGGCACAGCTCCAATAGTATCTGTATGTCTCTAATGCACCTCATTTTGCACTGATCAAACATTGTACTTAAAGCTTGTTTCAGACCTTGATCCTTAGATGCTTTGAATTTTGCCCAAGTCTTACTTTTATTTTATTTATTTATTATTTATTTATTTTATTAGTGAAACACCATGAGGTACTGTTATAGACTTACAAATTTTTGTGCTTGGGTTTCAGTTACACAATGATCAAGTACCCATCCTTCCACCAGCGCCCGTCCTCCACCACCACGGTTCCCAGCATCCCTCCCACCCCCCATCCCTCCCATCCCACCCTGCCTCTGTGGCAGGGCATTCCCCCTTGTTCTCTCTCTCTTCTTTTGGGTACTGTGTTTTGCAAGAGAGGCATTGAGTGGCAATCATGTTTGGTCTATAGTCTACTTTCTGCATGCTTCTCCCACCCTGGGAGGGTCCCCACAACACCCTTTATTTGGTGCTCTCTTCTCTATCTGAGCTTCCTTTTCCCCTAGCATGTGTAGCTGGCCTCCAGGTCATGGAGCAAAATTCCTGGTACTAATCTCAGCCACTCCTGGGTGTTAGTCTCCCATTTTGTTGCTTTATGTTCCCCAGATGAATGCAATCTTTCTGTGTCTATCCCACTCTTTCTGGCTCATTTCGCTTAACATGATACTTTCCATG